TCCTGGAAGCCCATCTGGGCACTTGGAAGCTTCCTGTTTTTACTTTCCTCATTTCCAAGAGAGACAGAGCTGTTTGAGGCCCTGTATCCATGTTAAAACAACAAACCTTTGGGCCAACCCAAGAGCAGTAGAAGGGGCAGCATTCCGGAGGAGGCCAGCTTGGCATTCCAGAGGTAGGGGATGTCTTCTTAGCACCACCCAGGCAAGTGTATCTTTCCCAGGACACTCAAAGGGTGGGGGATTCCAAATATCAGAGGATACCAGCTCCCCGGTCCGAGGTGGGGAGCAGGAGGTGGCGGGGAACAGGTGTCCTCACGTGTCTTCGGCCACTCTACTCTGGCTGCCGGGGTTTGCCCCTCACATCACTGACAGCATGGGCTTTAGGAGGTGGGAGACCCTGGGCTCTGGGTACTTGCAGGGCCAGGCAGAGTCCTCTAGGAGGTGATTGTGAAGCACAGCTCCTCAAGCACTTGAGCTTCAGGAGCCTCAGCCTCTGCCCTGCACCCCCAGCTGACCTCTGCTCTCTGTCTGAGCAAGTACCCTCCCTGCTCCACTGCCTTTCCTCCTACCTTCTCTCCTTCCTTCCAGAAACCGTTCTGCCTATAAAAACAGCTATGTGAATCTGAAATTTTTAAAAGGGGCAGATTAAAAAAAGAAATCTAACCACAATGCATTTTCCTCTTCTCTGCTGTTTCCTGTAAACTTGTAGTTGACCTAAAGGTTTGATAGACTGGCCTGTCATATTTTCTGTAAGTTTGCAAAGGCTGAGCAGGAGGCCCCAGAAAGTTAGCCTGAGCCCAGTAGACCTTGCCCATGACTTTAGCATCCTTTGTGATAATGGACTAGATTCACTGTTTCACTGGGGGCTACAGAATAGGACTCAAAAGCTTTAGAGCTGGGCACAGTGGCTCATACCTATCATTCCAGCTCTTAGGGAGGCAGAGAAGGGAGGATTACTTGAGCCCAGGAGTTTGAGAACTGCCTGGGGATATCCGGAGACCTGGCTCTCCACAAAAAAGTGTGTAAACTCCTGTGGTGTAATGAACCTTCAGCAGGCTCCTCCCCTTAGGTAAGGGAGTGTGTGTAAACTCCTGTGGTGTAATGAACTTTCATCAGGCTTCTCCCCTTAGATAAGGGAGTGTGTGTAAACTCCTGTGGTATAATGAAACTTCACCAGCCTCCTCCCCTTAGATAAGGAGTGTGTGTAAACCCTTGTGGTGTAATGAACCTTCAGCAAGCTCCTACCCTTAGATAAGGGAGCGTGTGTAAAC